CTATATTATCCGCATTTTACAACATTTCGCAACGAAACTTCGGAATATTACTAATTTTGTGATGCTCCTTCAAGATGTGATAAAATCTTTGTCTACACTTGTCTAAATCAAAATTTTGTTCATTAGGGAATAGGTCCAATATGTATATTTGCAAAAGTGTAATTGCAATAATATTGGAAGAGTTCAGAACTTCTAGTATAATATTTATTACCATTATTACAGATAAAAATGTATGTAATTTATAAGTTACTCAATGTTTATTATATATCGTTACAGACGAGGGAATGAACGAATTTTTAAAGCGGTTTGTCCTGCAGTTAATTGGAACGAGTTTATTCGATGCGCGCGTAGATTGCATGTAGCTGGGATGTTTTGCTGGTTCAACAAGTTCGAAAAGATTACTAGTTTTCGAAAGAACCTCTCTTCTAAAAAATTTTGAACATAACAGTTCGCACCAAGAATACAATGTTGCGATGTTAAAATCTGGCAAAGATTCACTGGAAACTACATCCTTATACAAGTTTTATACCGCGTGTATAAGATCTGTCGTTGAGTATGCTTGCCAAGTCTTCCACTCGAGTCTCCCTAACTACCTATCAATGGAAATTGAAACTATTCAGAAGCGGGCACTACGGATTATCCACCCAGACTCGAGTTACATCGAAGCATTAAAAAAGGCTGGAAACGAAGAGAAAAGTTGTGTGTAAAACTATTTTCATCAATCGAAGCAAATGATGATCATAAGTTAAAGGAACTATTGCTACCGAAAAATTCACAACCAAACAATCTCAGAACAAACAGAAAATATAATCTTCCCAAGATGCACACGAACAGATTTAGTAATTCCTTTATTCCATATTGCGCACATAATGCGACTTTGTAGGTAATTTCAGATCACTAATATTTTAAATAGTTATGAACATACATTTACATTTAGATTTTAGACTTTTTATTATAGACAATACGATATGTAAAAACATGATATGTAAACATAGGTACACTCTATATTTATAAATATATATAAATATATATAAATATATATATATATATATATATATATATATATATATATATATATATATATATATATATATATATATATATATATATATATATATATATATATATATATATATATATATATATATATATATATATATATATATTCATATATTTTCACTTTTGTAAATTCAATAGTAATTCAGTTCACAAGACTGTAAATATTGATTCAATTAAACGTTCTATCTATCTATCATCTATCTATCTGTATGATGACGATGGGTTCATTATTTTCAACGCTCTTCACCGAATCCTTTCTATTTCTTTGGATAGGTGTCTGAATGCGGGAAATGTTCTTTCAGAGAGACAAAATTATAAGAACTTTCCGGGGGTGTGGGTAGGGGTTTGATGAAAGTGGGGATAATGTCCTCCTTCTAAAACTAAATCTTCTTCCAAGGGTACAGTAGTAGCCTAAAATGCTTGTATTAATCTCTATAAGTTCGACCTAATTAACTGGGGCACACCGGGGTTCTACGCTACTTCTCCATGATCGAAAAGAAAACTCTTACCCCAGCCAATGAAATAAAAGATCTTCCAATGTTTGCCACGCACACCATCAAATACTCTGATCAGTAAGATGTACAGCAATATCCCCTCACATAACATCCATCCGAATGCTGACAACACAAAGAAATGCAGGAGAGCCGCAACTGCTTTACATAAATTCTGTTGAAAATAATTTAGAAATATCATACGTATTCTTGGGTTTCAATCACGCGATAGTTTAGCATTCGACTCAAGTGGGGGTCAATCATTGAGCTGAGATCAACTACACGCATAAAAATTATGAGCCTGCTGTTCAACAGGATTGAACAATGTTGTGCGGCCCACATTGTTCACACTTGTCAACAACATTGAACAATATTGTTGAGCCTGAATCGGGTGTAACAATATTGTTCAATATTGTTGACAACTGTGAACAATGTGGGCCGCACAACATTGTTCAATCCTGTTTTCATCAATATTGCTACAACCTGATCGTTTCAACAACAAAGAAACAAAATGGCTGTCAACGCATCTTATGCAAATGAGTTCTCCGACTATTATAAAAGCCAATATAAAAGCTGTCCTTTATCCTTGACAGACCCTTGACTCCCAACCTGGTCTATACTTTATATGTTATTTTCGAAAACGACGTACTATTTCGTATATAAAAGTGGTTTAGTTTGTTTAATTCATTTGATTAGTTAAAAAATAATCGGCACGCTTCTGCGCCAGTGGGAATTCTGGACGCCCATGGAAGCTTATGGACCAATCAGCTTGATAAAGCAGTGTTCAAGTAACGGTCAGAGTGAAATTTTCAAGCCGTCAGCGTTGATTATATATTGTGATATAACAAATCAAGGAAATTTGTCAGTGGTTCGTGAGTTTTTCAAAGACCTCAAATAGCACTCGTCCTTCGGACTCGTGCTATTTTGATGCTCTTTGAAAAACTCACTCGTGCATGTTTTATCCAAATTGCACTCGAATCGAACCCCGCGGTTACAGAGGTGAAAGGCTCATCCGCTCATGCACTAATTACCATGCTAGTAACATCCCATAGAAAAATATTTGCGGACATTTTTAGGAAAAATAACTTACCGGACTATCTCTCGCGACACCCTCAAGTATGGCAAAGATATCGGTAAATCCAATCGCAACACACAAATTGACCAAAATTTTGGCGCGAGGGGACTTCACGTGTTTCCAGAACAAAACATGCATTAGAATTGTAAGTACAATGCCGACCAACGATATTGAACAGCCAACGGTTGAAATCGTTTCCAATATCTCGCGTTCAGATTCCGTTAGCTGAAAAGGTAAGGAAAAATGCCATGTACTATTTAAAACACTCTGCTTTATCAGATATAAAATATTATAACTGAAAAAGCACGGAACTTTGAATGTTTTAAATAGCTTAAAAACCGACCCATCTTACGAGTTCACTGGCAAAGTAATTTAAAAATCAATGTTGTCTAAGTCGAGAAAATCAAAGCCAAAGTCTATGTATATTAACATGATTTTTTTATCACATATAAACCGACACAAATGAATTAATGACTTTTTAAAGAAATATTGTTAACGTGCTTACCCAAAGAAATTGCACATCTTTTTTTTGTGATTGCATTGTTAAAAAAATTCAAAATAACTAGTGAGGTACTTTGCCAAACTAGTTTAGCTTGTTTCTTTCTTGAGATATTTATACGCAAACTATCCACAGTATATGATGTGGACAACACATATGATTTCACGGTTCTATGATTTCGATATTTTTTAGAAAGTCATTATACAATGTTAGGATAATTTGCATATCATAAATTGTTAAATATCTGAAGAGCGAAGCAAGCTACGATAGTTTCGCAAAGTATCTCATTTGGTCATTTCGAATTTTCTTTACAATGTAATCATAAAAAAGTGAGAAATTTCGCTGCATAAGCAATTTAACACGTTCACATGCGACGCATGAAACCAAAGGAATTGGAGGATATAACCAACCCAATGAGCTCTGTATATGCAGCCAGGGTGTGGCGACCGTAGGGGGTGTAACCCCCCCCCCCCAATATTTGCTCATGAGTAATTTCAAGTAAATTTCTAGGTATTTTAAGCTGATTTTCAGATAAGAGTTGACAAGCAAATGTGGAAGTTAAAAGGGAAGGCAAGCTAAGAGTTGCATTTTTGGGCTTTCTGAGGGTCTAAATCCTCAAACTTTTCTAGGGGAAAACCTCTGTCTAGTACATCAGACGACGTGGAGGTTCTAATTGGCTAACAGCCGACGGTTATCAATAGTTTATAGTCATTTCCTTCGTTTTGTAGAAGTTCATTTTTTGCCTCAAGTGAAGCAACCCTTTGTTTTAGTTCGGTTATCTCATCATCTTTCTCTTATAAGGAGGAGGTTAAGGAGGCTTTGTTGTTGGGGGAGGGGAGGGGGGGGGAGTGTAAGGGTCAAAATTATATGATTTTTTAAATTACTTTTTACGTTGGTATTTCATGAGTACATTCAGGTTTCAGGTGTTCCTTTCGATAGAATATATTACCACAATGAAATACGGGGCTCAGTCTACTTCAGGGTATTTTTCCCAGAGAAAATTTTGAATATTTAGACCCTTAGAAATGTAACTAAAATTTGGCAGTCTTAGTTTGCTTTCCCTGTCAACTTCCACGTTTGCCAGTCAATGCTGTTCGAATTTACCTGAAAATCACAAAGAATCACCTAGAATTTTACCTGAACTTACTCATGACACAGAATAGGAAATAGACAAGAAGCCACACTCAGCCAAAATTATGTCCGAGATTTTTATGCGCATGCGCGAGCCAGCAAGTGTAATCACGACGCCATCAAACGCGAGCAACGCCAATTACGCCATCAATTGCCATCACTAGGTAATAAAGATTACTGTTTTAACCGTTTTTAAAATGCCACAGGTCCAAATAATGGGTCATCGCAACAGGAAGACACAACGTAAAAAAACAAAAGCGTAAAATATTTGCACAATAATTGCAGAATATGCAGCGTACACTTTGAGCATGTCTTGCGAATTTCAAGAAAAACCGTTGATTTGAGGAATTGACGCTGACGAACGCTGACGTGATGTTCGCAGCAACTGTCACACACGTCATCTAGCGTGCGAAAATCGCGGACACGAAAATGTTAGGGAAAGATATACAGTGAGGCTTCTGGTCTATTTTCTTTTCTGTGCTCATGAACATATAATTGGGGGG